TGCTATTTATAGCTCTTAGATTCCACAATAGAAATGGGAAGTCCTCAGGAGAGTAATAAAAGCAGAACAAAAGTCTTCAAGTTTTGGATAAGAGTGTGGTCTGCTACCCTGGCCTGGGCAGCAGCTGTATTGGAAACATCTTCTAGGGAGTATCAGATGTACTTCTCTGCTTTGGTACTTTGGTCTTGTAATCAATGGTTGCCTAATCTTCCCTGGGCCTTTTGGTCACTATGTTCCAGCCCAGGACCAGCAAGTTCACAGCAGTTTACTCAGGACTTAGTACTCTCTGGGGCCCAGATTAGCCGCTATCTTTGTCAGACTCAGGCAATCTCTCGTTAACTGGCGTTGGTATCCTTCTAGGAGGCCAAGCTGTGATTGCCAGCGTATTGTTCAAAGACCTGCACCCTCTTCAGAGGTCAGCTGGGTAATTACATCATGACTAGGGCAAGGCAACCAAGACCCTGGACTGGGCCCGCTGCCTTCTGAGTGCCCAGAGTAATTCAATTTTGGCTTTCCCACTGCTGCCGTGGCGTAAGAATGCAGCAATTTCTACTTGAAAATTTCCTCATTAGCCATTATGGGCTATCTTTCTCCAACTACCTCTGGAAGGAAGCCACAGACTACATTAAAAGCCTGTAACCTTATTTTTGGGCATTTTAACGGGACTGCTTGGGTTGGGCTCTGCCAAAGAGGTGAAAAGCAGCTTCTTGTTATTCTTCATTACTGTTGGACGTGGAGGGACACAGACATCATGGATCAGACGTCTCCTCAGGCCTGGCCACCTGCAGAGCTTCTTAAAGAACCAATGCTTAGGTGAACTTACCCAATCCCATTTCCAGAGGCAAGACTCAGGCACTGTCCCCTCATGAGCTAATGTACAGTTAAGGCTGCAAACCTTTTGTTAGCTAAAATTCCTTCACTTTTATGTGATACAATTGGGACCGAGGTGCTTGGGACTAATTCTGAGCTATTAACTTTGCTTTGATGTCCAGGGTGTCTGAGAAGCCAGAACAGTAAGGCGCAGCCGGAAATGTTCAGCATTTTACGTTCCAGAGGAACTCTCCCGATCACTTATCTGCTGTCTTGCCCTTTCTGACTCTACTTTTTACATTCTGAAGGAAAACCCTCAGAGGGTCTAGATTCTTCTCTGAGTTCCCCAAGTCTTATTTTACCCATTCAATTTTACCCCTGCTCTAAGTCATCTGGCAAGTGGCTGTTTCCATTCTTGGTCCGATTTGGCAGCCAGCTCCACTAGGTTGCCCGTGAGGACTGTACTTTTTCAGCCCTGTTTTGAAGCTAGATGTTGGGATCTGGCACTGTAGCAAGTGTAACAGAGAGGAAGGCAACGTTTGGGTGTTTCCTGGCTCCTACTGGGTCACTGTGGTGAGATGGGGCAGGGCAGAGGGTGGGGAAGAATGAGGCCAGGTTACAGTAAGCAAAGACCTAAGTGATGAGGAGTGGGAGCTCCTTGACAGACTGCATTCTGGTTCCTCACCTTCCTCACTGGCTCTGAGGCAAGAAAAGGAAAGGGCATCAGGCTCCATCAGAGTTGGAGACCTAAATCTAGAATTGACCCAAGCTAAATATAGTATGGGTCACATACACTTTTTTAAAATGTGTGTGTGTGTGTGTGTGTTCATGTGTGTGTCTGGAAGAAGTACAGGTGCACATGCATACCTGTGTATGTAGAGACTGGAGGACATTATCCACTGCCAGATGCAGGAAGCCTGCCCGTCCTCCTTGAGACACAGCTCTCACCCATTAGACTTGACTGGCTGGTGAGTCCCAGGGACCCGATGTCTTCCACCCCAGCCCCCACAGTGTGGGCTGCCACACCCACACTTTTGTGTCGGTACTGGGGATCAGATTTAGGTCTCATGCTTGCAAAGGAAGCGCCCTACCGATTGAGCCACCCTTCCCATCTATGACCTGTCAAATGACGGAGTCACCAGTCCATGTAGCTGTCTCTTCTGGGTTGGGAGAGGTAACTATGCAGAAAGAGACAGCTGAAGTGAGAAAGGAAAGGAAGTGCCATCAAAAAGGAACTTGCACAGCCTGCTCTTGGTGTCTCATGCTTGCAACCCAGCATTTGAGAGGTGAGGCAGGAGAATCAGAGGTTCCAGATCATCTTTGATATATAGTCAGTTCAGCAGTCAGAGGTCAGTCTACCATACTGAAAACTGCTAAAAAAAAAAAAAGAAAGAAAGAAAAAGAAAGTTTCTATCAAAACCAGTTGAGAAGCACAGGTGCTTTGAAAACATAGAGGAGAAAGGACCATTTTTAAACAACTTATATCAGTTTTTGAGATGAGACAGACTACTAACATCTTGGAACAGTTTATTTACGTGAAAATATCATGATGATGAATATTAAGTTTTGTGTTACTACTTATTGTTTTGCACTACATACTGTGGAAGTCCTGATTTGAGTGGCTACATAATATATTACCACCTGTTTATTCTATACTTTATGCTGCTATTTCTTTGTATCATGAGATATTTTTCCTTTAGAAATTTGATAAACGTGTTTTTGACAAAATGACCTCAAAATCTGCTTCTTGTAGTGTGTGTGTGTGTGTGTGTGTGTGTGTGTGTGTGTGTGTGTTCTTCAGATAAGTGAGGACTTTATTTCATGCAAAGCAAAAATCCACCCACACATAATGTTTGGGAAAATCTCACTTGTTTTCTTAGAAAGGTCTGGAGACTCTAACAAATGCCTACAGCTTCCTTCTATTCATTTTGTGTGTTTTTGTCTAAAGATTTCACAATTCCATCCCCACCCTGGCTATTCCCGTGGGTTATAAGAAAAAGGAAAAAAAAATTTTGTAGGCCAAGAATTGTATGCATTCTTTTTGGCATGCTCCTGCCTCCCCACTGTGTATATTTAAGGTTCTGCATAAATAAATACTATAAATATAGATGTTGTGGGAGAGGGCTTTTGCTGGCTGTTTTTCTGGGGCCTAGTAACAGTTTTGCTTTGATGTTGAATAATTGAGGCTGGTTTAGGCTTTAAAATACATGAGGCGCGCGCGCACACACACACACACACACACACACACAAAGTATTGATTTTCACACATGACCCTCTGGTAGACTTGAGGGGGAAGATAGTAAAAGTGAAAGAGGAAAAGAGAACAATGGAAGGAGAAGAAATCATAAGGGCCCCGAAACACGCACTCCCTGACTCCCTGAGGACAGATTAAAATACGAGTCCAGATTTAGTAGCTCTCGGGAGGGTCTGAGGTTTTGCATTTCCAACAAGTCTTGGTTTGGACATGGTGCTGGTTTTGGATCCCATGTAAGAGGCAGAGCTCTCACTTAGGCTGCAGCCTTTTAGCAACAGTGCAAAGGCACATTCCATTCTCCACCCTGCCTCTCCCCGCCCTCTTGGGTTAAAGATGGTTTCTGCTTTGTGCATGAAATGAAGGCTGCTTTACAAGGCCTCTCACACATTGCATAAAGCCCATCCTTCCCTAACCCTTACAGCAGTTTCTCCTTCCCCTCTATCACGAATTTTTACTTCTTTAAGCACCATTTTATCTTAGGTTTATTTACTCTATGTGCATACGTGTCTTGCCTGCATGTGTGCTCACTGTGTGCATGCCTGATGCCCATGGTGGTCAGAGAAGGGTGCCAGATCATCTGTAACTACAGATGACCGTGAGCCGACACGTGGGTGCTAGGAACCAAAGCTGAGCCTTCTCCGAGAGCCACAAGTGCTCTTTACCCCGATTTGGTGGCTCTTTCGTCTCATGTCCAGCCTTTTCTTAGCGGCTGTCACATACTCAGTCAGGTCTCCCCTCCTCACTCTCCCCAACTAGTTTCATTTCTTCAGAGACCACAGCACAGCCTTTACAGCAGAAACAGGCCTCCGACCTTTCTTCTGGCTCTACCCACGAACGAAACCACAAATGGGATCACCCAAATGTAGACACTTCCAGGTACACTGGGTTTATCACTTCTGCTCAGCACTTGACTCTGTGAAGCTTTGCTCCCCACACGTAACGCTTCCGGGCGGGCCTTCTCCCTCAAGTGTGGCTTCTGTGGTGCCATGCTAAACTGGGAATTTTTAGATTAGCAGTCCGTGGGCGCTTGTGCAGTTCTCTCCAGATGAGACTAATTCTCAAGGTTGTCCAGCAGCTGCAACTGAGGATCTTACAAGATTTACAGACATCCAAATGTTTACTTCTTTGGCCTAAAAACAGTGACTTGGGAGTGAATCACTGACCACATACTGTAATGCCACCGTCTCTCCAAGCCCACTAAGGATGGGTAAACAGTGATTAAGTCAAGGGAGTTGAAGTGAACTTATCCAGTGCTTGGAGTTCACTTAACTCATGAGAGCTGAAAGCTGCTTGGCTGTGATATCTTTAAATAATTCCATTCAAAACTGACGCAGATCAGGAGAGGACCTGGACTTGGTTCTCCAGCACTGGGGAAGAAAAAGATAAGACACTAACAACAACAAAAAAGCTGACTTATGTCTCATTCTCTCGGATGAAGCTTTTAATTGACTCTTGTTTTCACAAACTTACAGCACAATGGTAAATGGTGCTTATCACGATGTGCCCGAAGTGTTTGCTCAAATGCCTTTTGAATCGTCAATGAAAGCCTAGAGTTTTGCTTTGTACTCTTTGGTGTTAAATAAATTTCAAGTTTATTCTTGGGAGGTTGGTTTTCTATGCCTACTATGTCTCATGTTGCTGGATTACATTCCAATTTACCTACAATTTTTTTTTTCGAGATAGGGTTTCTCTGTGGCTTTGGAGGCTGTTCTGGAACTAGCTCTTGTAGACCAGGCTGGCTTCGAACTCACAAAGATCCGCCTGCCTCTGCCTCCCAAGTGCTGGGATTAAAGGCGTGCGCCACCAACGCCTGGCTCCAATTTACTGCATAACTGTACACCCTAACAGTTTGCATATCCAAAATTCATATGGAAGTGGTTCTTTAATTTATCTGAGGGAAAATATTCATCATCGCTTTTCTTTTCACACTTTTCAGATAAGAAAAAGAAAATGGCCAGTTTCAATTCAACTTAATGCAACAGACGTTGGGTAGGTTTTATGTTTATGCATAGTTCTGGGCAATGGAATTAAAGGGGCAGATAGGACATGGGCATCTTCACCTAGGGTAATTTAGATGTGGTAAATGTGGCTGAGACTATTGTAGCTACCAAAGAAGAAATAGTCAAATGGAGGAGGCGGTGTGGGGGAGAAGATTCTTAAGGCTAAAAAGGAGTTTCCCTCTCACATGAAGAGGAGGGGTCACTTCAGAGAGGACTCCGAGAAGTAGGCTCAGCAATAGTCCAGAGGCGTGTTAAGTAAGAGACAGGGTGGGATGGAGCCCATTCGTCACGACAATGAGCAATCGCTGTGGTGCTTCCCCACTGAGAGACTGAAGCCCTTGACGACCCTTAGTTGGAGGGTAACTGTGAGCCCAGTACACGGCAGCTCCAGCATTTGGCTGGCCCTCTTTTTACACTGGTTATCCTTGCTCTCTGATGAGAAATCTTTTCTGCCCTTAGGTTACTAATCAGCCAGTTTCAGCAAAGCTGCCTGGAGCCGTCCCGGTCAGGGTCTACACGGGTCTCACCAAATAGATAGTGTGATTTGAGGTTTCAAATCATGCTATGTATTGATGACTTCATTTAACACAGTGGTTCTCAGCCTTGCTGATGCTGCAACCCTTTAATACAGTTCCCCAGGTTGTGGTGATCCCAACCATAAAATTATTTTTGTTGCTACTTCATAACAGTAATTTTGCTACTGTTATGAATTGTAATGCAGATATGTGTGTTTTCTGGCGATCTTAGGCAACCCCTGTGAAAAGGTCATTCGACCCAAAGGGGTCATGACCCACAGGCTAAGGGGAACTCAGTCTAAGTATCACTCAGTCACTTGTAGTCTTCTCCTGCCTGACCACAAAGGGAAAAAAGTGTTTGCAAGCTGTTAAATGAGTCACAGTACAATTGTTTGGCTTAATACCTGCTTTGTGTTTATGTGAAGATAATTTAATGGATTAGTTAGTTCTTTGGATGAACAGATCATCAGTGTGTGTGTGTGTGTGTGTGTGTGTGTGTGTGTGTGTGTGTAGAGATGAAAGGAATCAGCTCATATGATTATAGAGGTGAATAATGCTAACATCTGCAGAGAATTTCAGTTCAAATTTAAAGGCACGAGAACTGGGTCTGCTGACGGTGAAGTTCCAGCCTGAAGCTCTATGGGTTTGGGACCCAGCAAAACCCCACTTGGCACTTGGACAGGAGGAATTCTCTGTTCTACTCCAGGAAGCGCTAGCCTTCTCTTCAGTCTTTCATCTGATCGGATGGGGCTGCAGACACCTTAGGTAGGGATCTCCGCTTTACTCTGCCTACCAGTTAAATGTTAAGCTTGTCATGAAACACTGTCACAGCAGCCTTGATACTATAGGCAGATTCATTTTCACTAGGAACACATGGCCTTGGGCATGGACTCGTCAGTTACTGCTCAACTGTAGGGTAGGCTCCACGTACAACTCAGGCTTGGCCTTTCACTGCCTCAGGGACCAGGCAGAACAAGCCCTCAGGGCTTGGGGATCTTCTCTTCCCATTCTGAAGAGCTCTCCTTTCCATAGCCTTGACTCCACACAGCTACTATTGTTTTACCTTTATCGTTGATTCTTTCTGAGTGACACGAGCATTTTCAGACATGCCGTCACAAATCCAACGACAGAGTAGAAAAATGAGTAGGGGGGAACAAGTACAGATAAGGAAATGGAGGCCAAGTAACTCCACTCAGGTGTAACCCTGAAGGAGCATGAGGAGTGTCAGGGAGTTGGTCTCTCCTGCAGCCTTTTGTACGTGGGGCCACTCTCCACTAACCAGGTACTGGATAGTTGTCTTGGATGGAGGTTGTGATGTGAACTTCAAGACAAGGGCCTCTTGTGCAGTCAAGGTCAATTCCCCAGAGAAGAAACCAGCCGTGAGCCCTTCACAGCCACCCAAGTGGGATACCAATAAGGTTCAGCCATTATATGGGATCAACACAGGTTATGGAGCAAAGTTGAAACCATAAGAGGCTGGCCTTCTCCTGGCTTCCTAGAATGAAGTGGAACTGGTATTAGTAGGAGAAAGAACCATGTTTTCTAGGCTCTCAAGCTTATTAAGAGTGGGAACTTCCCCTTTAGGACACAGGACATAAAATTTGCGTTCAGGATTAGGTTCACGCTTACGCGTTTGGTAGATCTTGAAGCCTAAGCTGTGCCTGCTTTGTCTGTCTCTGGCGTCTCAGCAACCTCATGTGGAAGAAAACATTATCTTCAGGATTTAAGCAAAATTGCCCAAGGACATCTGTGAAGGAAGCAGCTAAAGCTACATCAGTCTGTTTCTGGCTCAGAGTTTAATGCCTGCTCTGGTGTATGGAGAGGGTTAAGAGACAGTGAAGACGCACCGGGCCTGTAAGGCATTTTTATTAAACGGACAGTCAAGCTGTGAGGTGAAATGTTTGTGGGAACTTAGCTAATTTGATCAAAAGTAATATATTTTTATTTTTCCTCTCCAGTTTTTTCACATAGGCTTGCTGGATTTGTACAGTGTTTTTAAATTTAATTTAGTATTATTTCCCAGTCCTTCTGGTTTGACTCAAAGTTGCAAGTTCCCAAACCTGGCATGAATAATAAATTGATAAATTTCCAAGGCTGGTGGTTATTTGATTGAGCATGAGAACAGAAAATGGAGGGTACTGGTTATCATTCAAAACACGAGTCTGTGCATTATCACTCCACCAGAGTGTATCCGTGATGGACACTAAGCAGTTCTTCAGGGGCGAGGCTGAGGAGATAAGGGAAGGAAGGGTGTCTCCTGGCTTGTAGGTGCAGAGCAGTGACAGAGTTGGTTTCTGAAACTGTTGCCAGTTGAGACTGCAGCCCTGGATGCTGCAGGCGATACCCAACGGGTTTGCTCATCCACACTTTCATCAGCCGTGTTTTGGAGGCATTCCTCAAAATGGGTGTTCATAGTTGGGATTTTGTTGACTTCTTTGCCTTCTTTGCTGCAGACTGAACATCGCCGACCATCGAAAGGGCTGAAAAGCTCTGTTGAAAAAGCCTTTTTTTTAGCTTTGTTGAAAAAGTCGTTCTTAGCTGGACTGTGGTGGTACACACCTTAATCCCAGCGCTCCAGAGGCTGAGGCAGGTGGATCTACACTGAGAAACCCTATCTCGAAAAACAAGCAACCAAACGAAAACAAAAGCCCTTCTTTCAGAAACGAAGTTCCCAGCTCAGGACACAGCTCTTCTCCCTGCACTGTCATCTGTATGGCCACCACCCCAGCACTCTCACCCACTGATAATTTCTGCCTACAAATGCTCGTCCGCTTCCTGATTCTCTTCGCTCCCGTGCAGAGCGTTGCACCTCAAAGGTCTGTGTTGCATCTTCCCTTTGCTACACGGAGCAAGCATGTCTGACTGCTTCTCCAGCACTTCGCATTGTACGTAATCATGTGGGAGCAGTGCTTGCTCGGTAAACGAGTGAGTGAATGAATGAAATACAATTGTTTTGTCTACAGTACAGCTTTATCAATACCAAAAGAATCACTAGCCTGGCTCTCCAACAGATTTGCTTGTGTTTCTTCCCCTACACACATGAACTTGTCAGTGCCCGTCCTCTCTGACATTACTATTAAGCTGTGATCTTTACATATGTTCAGAACGCCACAGAAACAGGTCTCATAGTCATGGAATACATGCAATTACCTTGCGGTCACCACTAGCCTTTCTTTCTTTCTTTTTTTTGTGAGACAGCCTCACTGAGACTTCTTCCTACTATTTTCATGGAAAAAGTGAGGTGTCAGGAGTTTTGATCCCTTATCTGGCCCTCCTTGGGCAAAGGGGAATGCCACCACTCTGGATAGGAGTCAGACATACTTGAATTCTTCCTGGAGCTCCACTACATGATGTTGTGCTTTGGGGGAAATTACTTATGCTTTCTGCAACAGCATCTCTTTTTCAAAAGATTTCTTTTAGTATTTTAACTGTGTTAGGCGTGTGCGTGTCTCTGCCTGTGCGTGTGGAAGTGTGGGGGCCAGAGATACCAGGTCCCCGAGAGCTAGAGTTACAGATGGTTGTGAGCCACCTGACACGGTACTAGGAGAACAGAAAGTGCTCCTATTGCTGAGCCATCTCTCCAGGGCCTGATGCAGTATCTCTTAACTGGGTATAATTATAAACGTTTTTGTGAAGAAGAAATGAAACCATAGAGGTAAAGTTCCTGATATGTTTTCTCTCCATGCGTAGTAGATGATACATGACAGCCATGTTTATTCTTCATGTTAGCTGATTGGGATGATACGGGAGTCATTTAGATAGAGGCCAGACTCACAGTTAGACAACATGATAAACATGCTGAATATAGTGTCTCTCAGGACTTTGGATATGAAAAATAAAATGTATTCTGTGTTCACAAAGCAATGTTTAAAGTACTGGAGAGCTGGTTCAATGGTTAAGAGCACTGGCTACTCTTCCAGAGGACCTGGGTTTGATTTCTAGCACCATAACTCCATTCCAAGAGGATTCTATGCCCTCATCTGGCTTCTGTGGGCATCAGGCATGCACGCGGGGCGCAGAAGTGTATAAAGACAAAACACCCATATTCATAAAACAGAAATGAGTAGAAATGTTGTGGAATATTACTTTAACCAGGCAAAGATGGTTACATTTGTTTATGCTGCATTTGTTTAGTGATGTAAAGATGTGTTTCTTTGCCTGCCTAAGGCACCTGATTGGTCTAATAAAAAGCTGAATGACCAATATCTAGGTAGAGAGGGATAGGCGTGGCTGGTGGGCAAAGAGAATAAACAGGAGGAGGATTCTAGGTGTGTGTGTCTGTCCAATTTTACATTACAAATATGATAACCAATCACATTAGATATTAAGATGGAAGAAAAATATAAAGGCTTTGTTGGCAGTATTTCTACTGGAAATATTAGGATGCAGGGTGATATACTTGGCTGTGGCCTCTAAAGAATGCCAGTCTTTCCTCTTCCTAAATCTCCATTTCTAAAACCATTCAGATTGAAGTAGGTCATGTGGTCAAAATACCCAAACAGAGTGATTCTGCTCTCAGAGATCCATGGATAATAACTGAAATAGTTGGAACTAGAGCTTACTGAGCATGTGTGGTGAGCAGACACTGTCTTAACTCTTCTACCAATTTTACATATTTCTCACTAGAAACATCTGTGATACCAGTACAGGCAAGGAAACTGGGCCTTAGATATTGTCACACAGCTAATAAAATCTAATTCTTTTGCTTTCTCTAAAGTCTTTATTAGATTTCCTATTCACTCTCATTCACATCTTCAGTATTGTATCAGCTAGTTTTTGAGATGACAAATGCCCAAGAAAAATCAACTTAGGGAAGGAAAACCTGAGTTTGATTTTAGAGGTTTCAGTCTATGGCTTTGCTCTTTCTGGGGTGAAACAGGGAAGAAAGGGGGATAACAGTAAGGAGTCAGGACAAGGCACACTGTTCAGTGAAGGCCCCCAAAGATTCACTTCCTCCAAATAGATCTCCCATATTCCACAGCCTTCTGATTGTCCAAAATTTGGATTCATCAATGGATTAAGTTGGTTAGATCAGAACCCTTACAATCTAATTATCCTTGGTAGATATATTCAGAGGTATTCCGTACTAATTTCCTAAGGTTCCCTCAACCCAATCACATTGACAATCAAGATTACTCCACCCACCCCTACAATATACACATTTTAGGTGGTGCATACTTGTATCTATTTATGGGAAATGGTATGGTTTTAGATCTTGCATGCAACAATCAGACCTGTGTAACTGACATAACCCATTACTTCAAGCATTTATCATTTGTTCATATTAGAAACATCAAAAATTCTCTTTTAAAGTCGATGATTGCTATCACCATGACGATCCCTCTAATCTATGTACTCTTGGGGGCCAAATTTTGGCCTTTCCCTGAGACTTCCACCTTACTGCCTGTTAAATTCATTAGCATATGTACAAATTCAAGCACATTCAATGTGATAAATCCTACCAGACTGCAAACTCTGAGAGAATAAGGAGTTTGGTCTCTTGTGTTTATGGCTATTCCCATTCTATAGTAGGAGATGTCTGTAGATTTGTCATTGACCTCTTTATCCTTGAATGAAAGATTGTCAGAAACTTAGATGCAGGAATATGTTTCTGGGTTGGGAGCTGGCATTTGAAGTTCTGTGCTATCTATGGGAAATGTCTTCTGATCCAGGGTCCTCACAGGTCAGCTTGACAAAACTATAGGTACGAAGTTATCCAGAATGTGTGGCTAGGTTCTGAAGATGGCTTGCAAGAATGTGTAAGATCTCAAGAGTAGCATAATTGCTTAGGAGAAGTATGCCTTCTCTTGGTTTTAGAGACAGAGTGAACATTTCCCCTAGATCCTCATATAGACAGTCTTGCATAATGAATCTACCATATCCTCAACTCATCTGTGATGGAATATTTGTTGCCATCATCCACTGTCTGCCCTCAGTAAAAAGTGGATGTTGTTTTCTGAAGGTACAATCAGGAGTCATCAGACATACCAGTGATGTCACTGGAGACGCAGCCACCCATCCCCCCATTCCTGTTTTAACCATCTCATTCCTCTGTGACACACCGTACAGGGTTTTAAGAACAACTGGGCACCCTGAGGAGGATTCATTCTTGGGTTTTTCTGGAAGTAGCACTAGAAGTTTATTTAAAAAAATTTTTTGAGGCAGAGTCTTCATATAAATCTTGATTTGAAGTCTTGATATGGCTGACCTCAAATGTGTGATCCTCCTACTTCGGCTCCCTGAGTACTGGGATTACAGTTGGGCACCACTGTACTAGACTAGTATTAGAAATTTAAATGCATGCAGGCTGACCCACATACACTCTGTGCTTTCTCTCCAACCCATTGCTCACCCTGAAGATATTAGATTGAAAAGACCACTCTACTTGGAGAGAACCCAAAGGAATGAAAAAGGTCTTGCTGTTTTCTGCAAATGCTAAACAACTCAGCAACAGTCACCCAATTTGATGCTGGTGCTCTTTATTTCAATCCAAATTTAAGACAAGGATGGCCTAACAAAGAGACAGGTCTAGCCCTGGCCCCACAGAACTGCGAGTTCTCCTTGGCCAGCTCTGGTGGTGTGACAGGGAAAGTGGGAAAGACTACACTTCTGCAGTTCTCTTTGGAGGAGTGAAATAAATTCTAAACCTACCGCTTTGTCATTTTTAAAGTCCCCCAAGTCTAGAGCCAAAATAATTAGGGATGCTGGCAGAGTTGCAGGAAAAAAACGCCTCTCTCAAGGCTTTGTTCTGTTCCGGTGAGTATGCCAGTTCTGCTAGGGATTGTGTAATCCCGACATCCCTGGGAGTATACCAACCAAGTAAGGAGACAGCCTCCTCCTCCAACCTGGTCCAGCAGGTCCTGAAAACAAAGAACCATTTCATTGCTCATAGAACCAACTTGGACCATGTAGGGCTGGATTTAAAGCTATGATCCTCCCAGACAAGGTGGCTAGGAAGGCACCATGTCTGCAGTTATTTAAGTCAGGATTTGTTGATCTGTGTTTAGGTTTTATGCTTCCTTTCATCCTTATCAAAAGAGAAGACAAAGAGGGTATGGGCAGTGCTGCATGTCCCTGCTGAGGACAGCAGCACAGGCTGCAACCTCAAAGGGTGTTATGAGAAATGTGATTACCTTAAAGAAGGGTGTCTCACCAGGGTGAGTGACAGACACCAGGACTGGTCTCTGCTTCCTGACCTTAGGTTTGGAGAGGTGAAGGCTCTAATTTTCCCTTTTAGCTACATCAGATAGACTGGGTTGTTTTGTTTTTTGTTTGTTTGTTTGTTTTTCAGTTATAACCTAAAAGGGATCAAGAAAATCCTTTCCCCAAATCTTTTTCTTTGAAGTATACACAGGACTTTGTTTCCTACTGAAAGCTGTTGGGTATACTGTTGAGTATACTATTAAAATGTATTTACTCTGTGAAGAGAGCTGCCTGAAACGTGAGCTGTTTTCTAGTAGGGACAATGGCTAGCAGGGAAGAAAAAGCTGTAGAAGAAAAACCATTGGGTGAGTCAAGACTTGGACCAGATGGCAACTCCCTCCCTTTAAGACTATGTTATCCCTCTCTCCATGACTTGCTGTCTTGGGCTTTTCCTCTAGAAGCAGTTGGGCAACCTGAGGCTTCATTTTTGGATTGTTCTAGAAGCAGCACTAAAATGGCCTGGAAGAGGGGAAGAGGGTGTTTTAAGTGAAGGAAATACTTTGTGTCCACTTCCTGTCTTCCAGAGCCACTATTAGACAAAACACTGTTTACATTCTCCCTTGTGCCTCGCCTGAGTTGAGGACAGAAGTGTGTGTGGGGGGGGGGGGGAGACCAGAGAGGGAAAGATGAAACGGAAAGGGAAAGGGAAAGGGAGAAGGTTGTGGGCAGAAGTGGTGGGGACAGCTTAGGCAGGTTTGCTGGAGCAGCTGCTCCCAGTTGTCCCCAGCAAAGGCCCCTAACGTCTGGTGCCTGACGTATCTGCAGGTACTAGAGGAGAGTAGAAGCAGGCGTGACTCCGGCTAGAGCCACAGGGGCTCAAGTCCTGTCCAGTTGCAATCTTCTCTGACCTTTGGAGCTTTTGAATCCGTAACAAGACCAGGTTGGCCACATGGTCTCAAAGGTCGCTTCCAGCTGGAGCAGTCCTTGGGTTGTGAAATGATGATCTTAAAAGCCCTGTGACTTCACCCCAGTACAGAGCCACACCTCACAGGGAGGACACCCTGTTGACACACGGGAATGACCAGTTTATGAGGCTTCTGTCACCCTTCGCTCCTAATGCTGAGTTTCACTGCTTGGTAGAAAGTTTACAGGAAAAATGTCTGGAAACTGCTCATTGGTTCAATTTCTCCTTTTAACCTTGAGATAAGAACACTCTTGTTTGGGTCTCAATTATGTAACTCACTTTCCCTAAAACTCTGCCTGACTATTTGCTATTCTGCTTTTTAGCTGCCCTGGTTCCTGCCTTTAATTTGATTGCCTTGTATTTATGTTAATTTTTTCTTCTGGTCTTTTCTCTTTCAGATCCTGACAGTATAATCACATTGTTTCGTGTAGTCAACACTGAGACTGGTGCCTCTGTCCAGGACGGACAGTGGCTTGTGGCTGCTCTGGGAAAGCTTTGCTTCAGGTTAAATAAAGAGATCTCCCCACAACCCAGATCTTCTCCCCCAGCCCCCAGCCCGTACTCCTTCATCCTTGTTTGTGAGCATCTCCAGGGATGAGAGTCATTCATGTACTCCTCAGAGCAGTCCTCCTTCTCCAGACCCATTGCCCATCATCCTTCCACAAGATTAGCTATAATGGTCTCATTTACTTACTCTGAGCCTTGCAGAGAGTGAGGATTCTATAGAAGCAGCACACTCAGAGAATATGGAACCACAAGAGGATGTGTGTGCTGCCAGAATGGGAAGAATTCAGTCCAGTTTTGTAGAGTTCTAATAGGTCTTACTAATAAAAGCCTGGAGTCAGAGACAGGGGAAAATGCTAAGAGATCAGACAGAAGAAGGAGCAAGCCAAAGCCACCTTTATCTCACTGGCTTCCCAGCAGAAAAAAGGTCCTGTTTCCTCCCGCCTATATTCCTTTCTCCGTCCAGCCATCTCACTGCCTGTCTGTCTGTACCAACCTCCAGACCTCCATGGTTAGCTAGTGGCAAGCTCCATCCCCTGATCTTCAGACAAGCTTTATTTGTACAAACAGAACATCACCACGGAGTTTTGCAGAGGGCGCTGGTGGAGGAAGGGAAGGAAGGAAGAGGGCTCCCAAGGTTAGCTGGGGTGTGCTGTGGGTAGACTCTGAGCCTTCCTAAGGGAGAGAGGAAGTAGGTGGTCTACAGCAGCCTCTGTGCTGGGCCTTCTGGACCTGCTGTTGAAGTCCTGATAACAGAAACCTGCTGTGTCATTTGAGTGCATTAACACAGGGCAGGCTGATGAGCATCCCAAAGGAGAAAAGCATGTAGACTTTACCTAAGGAATGTGGGGTGCCTCCTAGGGCTGAAATGTATTCCTCATTAGCTTTCCAGTAAAGCCGCCTCTGGATCCTGTGTGCGATGTTATCAATATGCTAAGCTTTATGATCTCGCAGGGAGAAAAGTCTTTCAATTTTAATTCTTTCTCTGCTAAAAACATGGCTTATCTCTGTTTTCATTTTGCTGTCGAAATCCTCTTACCTCTATATCCACTTCCTAACAAAATACGCAGTGACTTTTTTTTTTTTTGATGGGGGCGGTTCTCTGTGTAGCCAGGACTGTCCCGGAACTCAGACTGTAGTCCAGGCTGGCCTCGAACTCACAGAGGTCCATTCCACCTCCCAAGGGCTGGGATTAAAGGCCACCGCAGAGTCTTTTTAACCATGTCTCTCTCCACTCCAGTCCCCCAGGAGGTGAAGGCCCCGCCCCCCCAGCTCATTTACATGTTGTTTTTGCCTAGAACACTCTCTCTGCAGTTTTCATGCTCCCATCCAGGGCACAGGTCGGGCTACACCTCTCTTCTCTGGTCACCCCAACTAGAGAAGCCAGCTGGTGGCTCCGTGGTGCGCTGCTGCATTGCTTCATTTTCCTCACAGCAGTGACTGTCTTCTCCCATCCGATGAGGTTCGCAGCCACAGAGTCTGCGTCCTGTCTGCTGTGGTTTGTCTCCCTCTCTGGGAATGGTTCACCGGGATACCTGCTTGCAAAGGAAGCAGTCTCCTAATGGTATTCTCACAAAAAATCACATTTTGTAGAAGTTCTTCTGTACGTGTTAGTTTTCAAAACCAATTTCATAGGCACGCTCTAGCTTCTCCTTCAGGACAACCCAATGAGGCAGGTAAAACGGGCTTACATTTCTCTAGAAAGGCTAATACAGTGAGAAGCGCTGACAGCGAGGTAGCAGGACTTGTCTAAACTTCTTCAGCTTGTTAGTCCCAAGGCATGGTCTTTCCCCATCAGGGTCAATGCTTTCCATCTTCTGTCTCCTAGTCCTGTCTTGTGATTTCCCTTAACTTCCCAGAACTGAAAAATCCATCCTTGTGGGAGATGAGAAAGCGCCCTGAGAAGGAGGGTGAAGTATGCCTGGATTCCTCAGGAATGTTTAGGACAAATAGCCCAAACTGTGCCCAGGGTTTCGGCAGATCGCCGGACCAATCGATATGGTGGGAACCACTAAGTCTGGATAACAGCACTTCTCTCATTGCAGAAGGATTGTGCTACTTTTACATGGAAACGGTGAGGGTCTTGAACTTTCTTTTTTTTTTTTTTTTTTTTTTTTTTTTTTTGGTTTTTCGAGACAGGGTTTCTCTGTATTGTTTTGGAGGCTGTCCGTCCAGCCTGGCCTCGAACTCACATAGATCCGCCTGCCTCTGACTCCCGAGTGCTGGGATTAAAGGCATGTGCCACCACCGCCCGGCTTGAACTTTCATTTTTAATTAATATCAAAAGCATCAGCTACAATCCATATTTTTACCTTTAAGGCAAATCTATTTGATGAGTAATGAAAAATGAAAGTCATCATCACTGTTCTTCTAGAATAGATGTAATAACAAGAAATATTTTTTCTTTTGTGTCATAACAATTTAATTTGTGTGTGTGGCATATGTGTCTGCATGTATACAGAGACCAGAGGTTTATGGTGGGCATCTTCATCTTTAACCTTTGCCTTATGGCTTTTTTGTTTTGTTTTTTGTTTTTTGAGATAGGGTTTCACTGTGTAGTCCTGGCTGTCCTAGAACTCACCCTGTTAGACCAGACTGGCCTTGAACTCAGAGATCCACCTGTCTTTGCCTCCTCAAGTGCTGGGATTAAAGGTGTGTGCCACCATCACCTAGCTTACCTTGTGTTTTTACGGCAGGGGCTCTCACTTTTTGTCTAGACTGACAGGCTAGCCAGATCCAGAGGTCCCTTGCCTCCATATCTTCCTGTGCCCAGCTTTTCACATGGGTGCTGGAGTCAGGGCTCAGTCTTCACGCTTACACAACAAATATTTTATTTCCTGAGCATCTCCCAGGTCCACAAGTGTTTTAAAAATTATCTGGAGCAGAGGTTCTCAACCTTCCTTGTGACCTTTTAATACAGTTCCTCATGGTATGGTGACCCCCCAAAACTGTAAAATTATTTTTGTTGCTACTTCATAACTGTAATTTTGCTACTGTTATGAATCATAATGCAAATATTTGTGTTTTCTGATGGTCTTAGGAGGCCCCTCTGAAATGATCATTGGGCTCCCGAAGGGCGTGACCCACAGGTTGAGAACTACTGAGCTAGACGCTCTGACAACGTGGCTGAATGATTAAGAACTTGTGAATCCAAGTTAGCGTCCCAGCACCCACATGGTGGTTCACAGCCGTCTACAACTGTAGTTCCAGGGGGGGCAGTACATTAAATGCAATGAATAAATCTAGTAAAAGTTTGCAATAAAAAATAAAGTTACCTAGAAAATCAGTTACAGAACAAACACGTCAAGCTCAAAAGGTCAAAATACTTGGTCATTCAAGCTCTATTACAGAGCTATAGTCCTGAAAACAGCTTGGTATTGGCACAAAAATAGACAGGTAGACCAATGGAATCGAATTGAAAACCCGGGTATTAACCCACACACGTACAAACATCTGATCTTTGACAAAGAAGCTAAAAATATACAATGGAATAAAGAAAGCATCTTCAACAAATGGTGCTGGCATAATTGGAGACTGGCATGTAGAAGAATGCAGATCGATCCATGTCTATCGCCATGCACAAAACTTAAGTCCAAATGGATCAAAGACCTCAACATAAATCCAGCCACACTGAACCTCTTAGAAGAGAAAGTGGGTGGTACCCTTGAACGAATTGGTACAGGAGACAGCTTCCTGAACATAACACCAGTAGCACAAGCAGTAAGATCAACAATCAATAAATGGGACCTACTGAAACTGAGAAGCTTCTGTAAGGCAAAGGACACAGTCAGCAAGACAAAAAGGCAGCCCACAGAATGGGAAAAAATATTCACTAATCCCACAGGGTTGATCTCCAAAATTTACAAAGAACTCAAGAAGCAAGTCTCCAAAACACCAAAGGACCCTATTAAAAAGTGGGCTGCAGAACTAAATAGAGAGTTTTCAATAGAGGAGTCTAAAATGGCTGAGAGGCACTTGAGAAAGTGCTCAACATCCTTAGCCATCCGGGAAATGCAAATCAAAACAACTCTCAGATACCATCTCACCCCTGTCAGAATGGCTAAAATCAAAAACACCAATGACAATTTATGCTGGAGAGGATGTGGTGAAAGGGGGACACTCCTCCATTGCTGGTGGGAGTGCCAACTGGTCCAGCCACTTTGGAAATCAGTGTGGAGATTCCTCAGAAAAATGGGAATAAACCTACCACAAGACCCAGCAACTCCACTCTTAGGCATATATCCAAAAGATGCCCATTCATACAACAAAGATGTCTGTTCCACTATGTTCATAGCAGCTTTATTTGTAATTGCCAGAACGTGGAAGCAACCTAGATGTCCCTCACCTGAAGAGTGGATAGAGAAAATGTGGTACATCTACACAATGGAGTACTATTCAGCAGAAAAAAATAATGGAATCCTGAGATTCGCAGGCAAATGGATGACACTAGAAGAAACCATCCTGAGTGAGGTAACCCAGTCACAAAAAGAGAAACATGGCATGTACTCTCTCATATATGGATTTTAGACATAGATCTGGGGAGTGCCAGCCTACAATCCTATGGCCAGAGAGTCTGGGAAACAGAAACTTTATTTAGTGGCTGATCGAAGAAGAAGCAGACTCCCTTGGTTAAGTACTGAGCTGAACTCAAGAAAGCCAGTATCAGAGAGGGAGGACTGATGATCAAAGGGATTAAGACTAGGCTGGTTTAACCCCCAGAAACAGCTGACCAGACAAAGGTTAACTCTTGAATCCCAGGCATCAGCCTGGGAATCCAGCATGGGACTGATCAAGACCCCCTGAATCTGGGTGTCAGTGAGGAGGCCTAGGGATTCTATTGAGCCTTGGGCAGCAGATCAGTACCCATCCCAAGTATACACACGGACTTTGGACTCCCATAGAACAATGTGAGGTGCACTCTCACCCTGAACTCTTGGGAAAGGGTCTAGGCCCTGCCCTATATGAAATGACACACTATGGACACCCCCATGGAGGGCCTCACCCTCCCTGGAGAAATGAGGGGATAACGGGGGGGGCACGGGAGGAAGGGAGGGAATGGGAGAGGGACCTGGAACTGACTTGTGAAGCAACCTTGATTCTTATCTAAATTTAAACTGGAAAATAAAAAAAAAATACTTGGTCATATGCAAAGGTCATCAGAAGTGAATTTCTACAGTTTCTCTGGGCTCCAATTCTCCATCAATAAAAGATATTTTAAAGAAATGTTGATGTGTTTGTAGGACCTGAATATGATCCTTCTATGACATTTTTATTGACAAATAGCCATTTTAAAAAAGCCATGTATGCTTAGAGAGACAGCTGAGCAGAGCCTGAGGACCTCAGTGAGGTTTCCGGGACTCTTGCAAATTGTCCTCTCATCCCTGTGCGCTAAACAAATGAGGATGTAAAAAAGCATGCAACTCTTACATTCACAATGTGAACTCACTCATATAACCAGACATGATCAAGACATCAGTGCCTAACGGCAGCCTACAGTTTTCATCTCTCCTCAGCCTGGTGGCTAGCATTCCCAAAGGTAAGCACTCTGAAGTTACGCGTGCACAGTGGGTTAGTTTCGCTGTTGGTTTTTTCCTATCATCCTGTCTGAACACCTGTCTGTTCATCTGCCTCTTCACACCATTGTTGTGATGCCCTTCCGTATTGATGCTTATCAGTGCAGTCGGTTTATTGCCACTGCCTCGCAGTGTGTCGCTGCTGGGGTACATTGTGCATCTACTCTGTGGTCATTTGGGTTGGTTGTTAGGGCTACTATAAGTAGTGCTTTAGTGCGCATTCTTGTACGGGTGTTTTGATGAAAACATATATGAATTTCTGGGAGTTAGGAGAGTGGCTTGCTGGATCATAGAGCATACAGACATCATTTTGCCTCTATGGTAGTTGATTCCTGGACTGTGTGAGCATACTGAAACCTGATGATGCTCAAACTCCTGATATAAAATGGTATAGCACTTCATATCACTTATCGCCTCCCTCCCTCCTTCCTTTTTCTCTTCCTCCCTTCATTCCGTCTTTGGTTTTCCTGTTTAGATAGGGTTGCTCTTTATAGTCTTGAGTAGCTTTGATGTCACAACATCACTTTGGATGGCCTCAAATGCCTGGCAATGTTGCTGCCTCAGCATCCTGAGTGCTGGCTTTTCCCTTATACATTACTTATAGTATTTAATACAATGCAAATACTATATACTGGAGATCGTATTGTTTAGGGAATAATGACAAGAAAGAAAGTCTGTGACGTGTTCGGTACCAATGCAATAATCGCTCAAATATTTCCCATCTGAGGTTGGCTGAATCCCTGGGTGTAGAAGTTGCACATCCAGAGAACCCATTGTTCATATATCCATAAATAATGCAAGTTTCCCAAAGTTATTTCACTAATTTATCCTTTTGCCATTGATTCATAAGAGGTCTAGTTGTCTCACATTATTGCCAACACTTGAAATTATCTGTCTTCTCATTTTAGCTGTACTAGAATATAACCTATGCTAGCTTCTGATACAGTTAAATTATGATTAATTTAATTTGTTGTAATTTAATAAATGTATCTGTGGGATAGTATATAAGAAAATCAAAATCACAAAGATAAAAGACCAATGTTGATACTCTCTACACTCTTGCTTTATTCTTTATTTTCTCCAAATAGATAACTTCAGTCAGCTAGCATGACAGCAAGGTTCTTGAGGTCAAGAGTTTGCCATAGATATATGTGATAGTTTATACAGTCCTTAGCAACTGCTGGGCATGTCATAGCTGCTTAATAATCTCCAATTGTATTGGGCTGACCTAAATGATGGGGGCAAATGAATTAAGATCTATGGAATATTTCAATGTCTTTGCCTAATCAATAATTCCCTGCCTAATTACCCCCTTAAGATACATCTTAGGGTGATGATGACAAGACCAGGAGAGAGGTATTGTAGACAATGCCCAACTGCTTTGTCTCAGAGCCTACACTCCAAATGCTGAGAGTCTGTGGGTAGAATGAACTCCTTTATTCAACTGGCTTTCCTGAAGCAGGTATGTCATACAACTACAAAGTGGAACAGACAGCAGACTGTCACTTGGGTATCAGGAAGGAGCGCTGATCAGATTCTGCTGCGCTAGAAGGGGCTTTGGACTCAAATGTCTGATCTCATTACACTGACCCGATTTCCCTACAGCCAAATCCAGTCTGATAGAAACATCTCCAAAGGCCACAGTGATCTCTAGGAGATGTAATTCCCCATTTTGCTAATCTGGAAAAAAGTCCTAATTTTAAAACACTATTTTACTCATCTTTATAAGGCTCTGTACTCGGTTGCCCATGTTAATGTACAATACTGTGTCATACTATGTACATTAAAGTTTTTCCCTCTGTGTTAGTATACGTTGTGTGTGTGTGAATATGTGTGTGTATGCCATGGAATTCATGTGGCAGTCAGAGGACAACCTCAGGTGCCAGTCTTTGTCTTCTAATTTGTTTGAGACAAGGTATCTCTTGTTTACTGCTCTGTATGCCAAGATAGGTGACATGGGAGCTTCCAGAGACTTCTGTCCATCTCCCATCTCCCTTTAGGAGTGCTGGGCTTACAGATGTGCATTGCCTTGCCTGGGTTTTAAATGGGTTCTGAGGATTCCAGCTCAGGCCAGGCTTTTGAGAAAAATGCTTTATCCCGGAGACTTCTCCCTGGCCCCTATGAACATTCTTATTTATTTTGAATATGAGCTGTTTCTGGATTGAAGTCCTGCGAAGTTATCATTTTGGTGCTAATTTAGTTTGGACTTGACCAGCCACCTACTGAAATAACTGGTAGAAATATCCTTTCTGGTCTTATCAGTCTTAGACCTTGACCTTCAGAAAGAAAGATGAGTTTTAATAGGCATAATCGTGAATGTGGAGTTTATGAAAGGAAGGAAATGTGGACCTGAGAAGTGTGGAAAACCGAAAACCCTAATCAGTTGGAGACATGTTCTGAGTCCTCCTTGGGCCAGCCGCCATCAGGCCTATCAAGATAGGATAAGTGTGCCTGTGTTTAGGGGATGGTGGACAAAGAAAGAAGTTCCTGGAAAGAGTGTTGTGGTGAGATCCAACAAGCAGAACAGATAGTAACTGTATACTGTTGCTAGTGGGACCTGGCTTGTTCTGCAAGCTGAAAGCGCAACAGCAGGTAATCAGATCCAGTGTTCTGGGCCTCTTGGGACACAGCGATTGTTGTAGACTAGACCGAGAAACAAGGGGAGGATTCATTCTCTCTTCTTTCTCTCCTATCAGGGTTGGCCGGCTTCCCAAGATATGTGGGGAGATGGAGCAGGCTGTGAATTACAGGATGCTTTTCCTTTGGGAATGGGTTTTAGGCCTCTGATCCCCCAATGGGTTTCTTCTTTTATCTACATATTTGCTTCTCAATCTCAGATTGAGCTGTCTTGACTCTTGAGTTTATTTTATTCAGGTCCTTTGAGCA